CCTTTACTCTTCAGCGTTAAGACCAATGAGAAGTAAATAATAAGGGATATAGGTTTCATCTTCTGCAGAAAAATCAGTATTGTCAGAAGAGGGAGGGGGGGGAAAAAAGGTGTTTTTCCTCAAATTTTGATTGAACAGTTTCATTCCCTTGGGAGCTGGAATGTACCGACATAATATTCTGACTACACACACACCTCCTACAGTTTTGCCTGTCACTTTATTTCCATTACGTGCAGTGAGAAGGATGTTAAGCATCGAACTTATAAAAAGAATCTTAGTTTCTCAGCATGTCTAGGTGCATCTTTAGCATTTAAATGTGATTAAAATGTTTACTGGCTTGCAGTTAACAACTGCAAGGAAAAGCAATCAAGATAATTTTTAAATTTCAGAACTATTTTTAATCTATTCTATTTCAAAGGAGGCAAGACTAAACAGATCAGCTGGTATAATGACAAATATCTTCTTCTTTTACTGTGCTTGTTTTGCATTGATACATTGTTAGGTGATGGTGATTACAACAGCTGCTATTCCCTCTTTTCCCTCACTGGAGTAGTCACACCATTTATATTTCTGGAAGAAAAGCAGCAACACTTATCTCTTACCTTCAAGCCATATGAATCTCTCGAGCAGAGGCGGCAGTACTTTGCGTCCAATATATCCAAAAACAACTCTCCACTGTGGTTTTCTCAAGCTCTCCCAAGCTTTCAAGCAGACTTTTTTTGGTATTCGGTGGCACTTTGTGTGACCACGCACACTGAGAGAAATAAAGAACAAATCACCTGCCTCACCCTGGGACTCGCGCAGAGGAAACTTACTGTGGTTGCCCTCAAGCTGAGCTAGCGGCTGCGAGAAGTTCAGGAGCGCAGGGCGTGCGTTAGCTTCCCGGGAAGAGGCGGTGTGGGAGCAAAGCTTTCCTGCGGCGATTTGCTGTCCATCTCTCTCAGTACATTGCTGGGTGGGAAAGCGGCGGTTCCGTCTCCATTTCCCAGAGCCCAGCTCTGGCTTGTCGCGAGGCGCAGCCACCCCTTCCTCCTCCTCCTGCAACGAGATCCAACAACCTGTTTCCACTCCGGCTCCCGGGGCTGGCTGCGGGGGGTGCGATTTCCGCGGCGCCTCCTTTCCCTCCGAGCTCTGCCTCGCCTGC